GTTTATCTTAACTTTAGTTTTTTTATTTTACTTAAAGTAAGTTAAAATAAAAATACTTAGAAAAGAGTTTTTTAGCTTTTAAAAAGCTTTTTTAGCTTTCTTATTAAAGTTAAGAACCTAACTCTTCTCTCTCTACTAGGCGTAGCTACTCTTAGCTACTTCTAGCTTTTTTTAAATTAGTTTAGTTAATAGTAGAATAAGTTAAAAGAATTTAGTAATAAACTACTTATAGTAGTTTATAAAGCTAATAAATACTTAAATCTTACGTACTATATATAGTTTAAACTATTTCTAGATTATCTTAATTCTATTCTTATTAATTTATATTCTTTTAGAGAAAACTATATATCTAAAGTACTTAGTATACTAAGTATACTACTTATACTTTAGAAGCTTTAAAAATAGCTTTATATTATATAATCTATATAAAACTTTCTTAATATAGCTCTTATACTTCTTTTTAGTATTAAAGAAAATAAGAATATTATCTAAGTATATAATATAAGTTATATTAATTAATTTTATAAGAACTTAATAGATATAGATCTAGAACTATATAGAAGTATTTATAAAGCTAAAAGATATTATAGTATACTTAAAACTACTATATCTTATATAGAAAGTAGTTTTCTATTTATTACTCTTCTTAATATATACTTTATAGTAAGCTTTTTTTATATTAAGTTTAGTATAGAATTTAGTGCTAGCTAATTTTTCTAAAAACTCTATAATAAGTAGTAAAAAGTACTAATTCTTAATAGTAACCTTATTAAAGTCTCTATAGTTAATATATAAGTATATACTACTATTTTATTTTTTAGTAAAAAGTATAAGCGCCTTTACTAGAGACTTACTATACTTAATTTACTTTTATACTAAGTACTTATTTAGATACTTATATAAAAGCTTTAACTTTATTTTAAAGAGATTATATAATAGCTAATAGAGTACTATAACTTTAGATAGTAAGTTAATAGCTAAGTTTTATAAACTATAGTTAGTAAAAACTTTTAAGTTATCTTCTAATCTAAGATATATAAACTTAGCGTATTATAAAAGTAAACTACTCTTTTTAGCTTTTTCTAAACTAGACTAAAGTATTAAGATAATAAGATAGCTATATATATCTACTATAGAATTATATATAGTCTTTTTTAACTTCTTAGTCTCTTCTAGTATAATCTTTTTATAAATAGTTCTATTTTTAGACTTAGTACTTTAAAAAAGTAGCTTCTATATAGAGTAGCTAATCTTTAAATAATATATATCTATCTAGAGTAGATCTAAGTATATCTAATACTTATAGACTTTTATAATAATATATAAAATATTCTAAGTTTTTTATTTTCTATAAGAATCTACTATCTTTATAGTTACTATAGTAGTACTATAAATTTTTAACTTTTTACTATTTACTTTATCTACTAATAGCTTAAATAAAAAGTAAACTAGTAAGCTTTACTTTATAGTAAGTAACGCTAAAATAAGATTTAACTAAAAACTTTTATTTACTAAAGCTTTAATAAGCTCTAATTAGCTAAGTAATACCTTTACTATTAGTAGCTTTACTAGCTTAGAGTAAAGCGTATTATAAAGAAGTTCTAAGTTTTAAAATACTAGATTTAAAGTAATATAAGTAGCTAAGAAAAACTTTAGCTTTTTTACTTACTATCTTTTTCTAATTTCTAACTAAATAAGCTTTTAAAATCTTTTTTAAACTTTAGATAGTCTTTTTAAAAGTATTTAGTTTTATTATACTTTAAATAAGCTATATTAGAGTTCTTTAGACTATTTTAGTTTAGTTTAGCTAGTTATAAGTTAGATTTTACTAAACTAAACTTTTTAGCTTTTTTCTAAGTTTATAAAAGCTTTAAAAAAAAGTTTTAAGCTTAATAGCTATAAAACTTTTTTTTATAAGCTAAATACTTAAAAAGCGTAGTAGTATACTTTATCTTACTTTAATAGTAGTAAGCTAAAGTATTAAGTTTAGAAACTATATTATAGTCTTTCTAGTCTTAAAGTAAAAGTTCTTTTTAAATATTAAAAAGAAAAGCGCTTATAAAGTTTATATAGTACTACTCTTCTAAATAGTTATTTAGTTTACTCTAAAGTATATTAAGATAAGCTAAAAGAGAGTTAGAATTCTAATTTAGTTTTTATTTAGCTTACTTAAGTCTATTATAAGCTATAAAGTGCTATAATAACTTAAAACTAAGTATATTAAGTATAACTATTTTAAGTTTCTTTTAAATAAGTATTTAAAATATTTTAAGCTTTATATAGTTTTAGAAGTAGATATTTTAAGTAAAGTAAGTAGTTTTATCTAGAAATTTTATAGTAAAGTTTACTTTTTAAATACTTATTAGAAAGATAGAAAGTATTTCTCTAAAAATAGCTTTATAATTATATACTTAGTAGTTATACTATAAGTAGTTATATATAGTAAATATTTCTAAGTTTTTAAAGTATAAAGCTTCTAAATTTAACTAAAACTTACTTTTTATAGTTAAAGTATAGTAAGTAATATCTACTTTAAGAGCTAAGTAGTTATTTATAAGTACTTTATACTTTAATTCTTTAAAATAAACTATATTTTAATAAGTATACTTTAATTATTTTTACTTATATAACTTTTTAAGTTTATAAATTAAAATAGTTTATTTATTTTTACTTTTAGTAGTAATAGTTTATAAAAGCTTAGTTAGCTCTAAAATAAGCTTTAATAGTATATTACTATTTTTAATAATTAAGACTAAGTTAGTAATATCTAAAAAAGCTTCTAATAAGTCTATAAGTTTCTTAGTAAGTAGTATTACTATCTCTAAAAATATAAAAGCTAATTTCTCTTAGTTATTATTTACTACGTATAAGAATAGTATAGCTTACTTACTACTATATTATATTACGCTAAAAAAATCTACTTTAGAGCTTATTATATTTAAATAGTATATATAAAAGTATTATAAAGTAGAGTAATTTAAATATTAAATAATAGAGTTAGTTAAATACTAAATATATAATATTAAACTATAATTAAGTATATTATTCTAAAAAAACTAGAGATAAATTACTACTAAGCTATAATAGTAATTCTAAGGTATTTATAGCTAGTACTAAGTTAGCCTAGACTCTTTAGAGCTAGAATCTAACACTAGCTATATATATATAAAAAAGCTAGTAAATACTTTATAAGCTTAAAGTAATAGTAGCTATATTTATATTTAAGTAGCTTAATAATAGTATATAATTTACTTAAGTAATAGTATAAAATTACTAATATTTTTTTTAGTTTTTAACTTTTTTAAGTTTTATACTAATAAGCTTATAAAGCTAAAAGCGCTACTTTAGAAGCTATTTTTAGTATAGCTATAGCTTATACTTATTAAAAAAAAATTTTTTAACTAAGTAAAAAAACTTAAGTAGTAAATAGCGTTAGTAAATATATTAATTAATTACTATAATAAGTAATTTTAGTAAAAGTAAAAGTAAAAAAGAAGTATTATAAGTTAGTTTTAAGCTTTTATAGTATTTTTAGTTTATATAAATAAGTAGTATTATAAAAGAAAAAATCTACTTCTAGACTAGCGCCTTAGCAAATAAAACTAGGATTACATTAATACATTAAGGGAGAGAGGGCGGGGAGAGGAGGAGAGGGAGCACTTCTGCGCTACCTTATACACCATTAAACCGGCATCAAACATAACTCCTCGATAGATCGTTGCATCACTTTCTAATCGCCTCATCAGCTGTTTGTACTTCGAGGATAACATCCCGATAGTAAGTTGCGCTATTAGTACGAGGCGCTAGTGCTCAATAGAGACTTAATCATCAGGCTCACACCCGGGCGGCTGCATCAGCATCCCTTGTACAGTGCACCGCAAGCACAGCCCCGCACTTCAATAACCAACTGAACCTGTTGCAGCAGCATGTAAACACCTCACAAACATGCATAGCCTTTAAGCCTCTCAATCAGTCTTACACTTACTAGACAGCGAGTCCTGGGCGCGTAACTCGCCATCTCTAAGCCTTCACTGCGTGGGGGCGTTAGGTTCTGACATGCTATTACATCTGGAGCGCAGTAACACTGGCGCTCCGGATGTCTATCTGCGACACCTACTCGGCCTTTGGTTTTGTGCTTGGAGGGACGGATACTGCAGCTGTGGCACTGCTGCGTAACATTAACATGCCCCACGTACATGTACGCTGCCCAGTTCGTGCCGCAAGCCTGCATGCCGACTCGGATACATAGCCTTGTCGGTCGCGCACTCTTCTTCATTGCCGTTTTGCTGTGTTTCCGCACTTTTGCTATCATGCAGGGCAACGACTACCAATATACTACATCTGAGATCGAAGCCCGTGCCACCCACATTGAGCGAGGAACAACACCCGCGTCGCCGCCCATTACTAATGCATCTCGAATGAAGTACGTTCTTCACAGCGGCGAGGATGTCTCGAACTCCAAACAATGCATAACTAGCCCGGATGAGACAGTTCCAAGTTCTGCGCTGGACAGTGAGCTCCCTAATGTCCCTTTGCTCGAGAAGCAATCGGAAATATCCCGACGTTGGCCGACATCACCACAGCCCGTCAAGATCTCAATATTTACGACTGCCTGGAACATCCTTGTTGATTTATGCCTACTGGCTCTCTCGCTTGCGTTTCTCGCTTTTGCTCTCTTCGTCATCTGGTACAACGGTAAACCGACTAGCGACCATCCACAAGCGGCTGAGAGGATCCAACAAGCTTCAATATGGGTGCGTACAACCTCGGTCAGGTCGCTGTGCATCCGCTCATTGGTTTCAGGGCCCTACGTTATATCCTTTACTCTTTGCCTCCGTGGTTGGGAGAGCGACGTTTGCAGTCTTGCTTTGGAGGCTCGAGAGAGGCGAACGAATTGGCATCTTAGACATACTCGCTAGTAGCTCGTCGCTCACCAGCACCGTGGTCTCGCAGCTCCATCTCCGAGCGATCAGCTACGTAGGCCTTGGCCTTATAGCCATATGGACACTGTCTCCTTTGGGCGGTCAGTCATCTTTTCGGCAAATAAGCTACGGACCAAAGGACATTAACGAACCTGCGAACTTCTCATATGTCGTGCCTAGCCAGTGGCTGTGGGCGCCTGATTTTACGCAGCTCAAGCCGTTCCTGGATACATCTTACCTGGCTGCTCTTTTGAGTCCGACTACCGCAGAAGGCTCTCCCCGTGACTCCTGGGGTCACATTAGAGTACCCCGGATCGAGCACTACGAGGTCACATCTCAGCCCGGAAACGAAGGCTGGTATGGTACAAAAAATGGCACTCTGGAATCTTACTCTTCCTTCGTTGGTATTCCAATAGGTGGCATGGATTCGGCAGAGTTCATTGATTACTCCACCAGGATTCAGTCGAAGTACTTCCATCTGGCTTGTGACCCATACGATGGGAACCTCCAGTTCATCTTCAACAACTCAAGGTGGCTAGGGAACGTATCCTGGAACGAGAATGTCACAGAACGCGCTGAAACCTCCCCTGATGAAGTTGAGCCTTTTGCTTTTGTCATCGCTGCGCATGAGTTTCGCGTTTTGAATTGTACGATTGATACGACTTACGTGGAAACTGAAGTTACATGCTCTGCACACGATACATGTGCTGCAGTTCGTATCCGACGCTCTCGTCTCGCACACCCTCCGGCAACATACACCCAACTGGGTCCGCTGGTAGGATTCAAAAACACACCTTGGGAAGCCGCGGGCTTTGACATGATCTACAACGCCGACCAAAATGGCAAATGGCGTGAGTATGACGGAGATAAGGATTTGGCTGATCTCAAGGGAGATGACGAGCTTGTCGAATCTGGAAAATTTGATACGGCCTCCCTGTCAAACCTTTATCTCCGAGACCCCAAGAATATTATGGGAAATTCGGCTACCAAACCTTCCGAGGTGGGTCATGAGACTTTCGCCATACGTCTAAGCCAGGTGATCAATGCGTATTGGGCAGCGATGTACGGCAAAGGGACGTTTTTAGGTCATTTCGAAGAGTCCACCAATCCAGTGAATGCTACATCTTATGGCTCTTGGTACGACGAAGAAGGGAATGCGGGCGGGAATCCGTTTCTGCTTGCAAGAGCGTGGTCGAGTACAGGAACGAAACGCAGTAACGTCGAAGTCTTCAAAGCCCACTACGGCTGGACTATTGCTCTTATTGTCTCCTCAACTGTCTTGGTCGCGGCGAGTTTGGTGCCTTTCTGCCTCCGGACATTCTCCTCGCACGGCCCGGACGTGCTCATGAACTTCTCCAGCCTGGCTACCAGGAACAACCCTTATGTAGCCCTACCGGTGACGGGGACATATCTCGACGCAGCTGATCGGTCGCGGTTATTGAAGGATGTGCGCATTCGTTTTGGGGATGTGGAAGGTGGCAACGCGATCGGAATGTTGGGGATTGGACGGCTGGATGGCGATGTTGCGCCGCTGAGGAAGGAGAGGAAGTATGCGTAAAAGCTCCGGGAAGTAGGTGGGACACGAGGTTGACCGGATGTCATCATACTACGTGTTGGGCACATGCTCTCAGATCATGATGGTGACGATCTATCTCATTGCCAGTGCATCGCTCGAATCCAACAGGGTAACTCATTGATAGCGCAGTGGTGGAATTCTATTGGGATGTAGCGCGAGGACTACGAAAAAAGTCGCACGGCGCTTTAGCATCGGTGTGAGCACGTGTCGCCCCCACACATTAGCATCATGTATGAGACAGCAACGATCCGCGCTTATGAAAAAGCGTCAGACAGCGGTTTCCGCAAGCTAGGATAGCCCACTCTGTCAAGACAGAATTGTCCCATGATGGTAGGATTAAAGTTCTCTATGCAGTACATCGTAGCGGCCGTCATCAAATTGAGAAATTCGAGAAAAGAGTAATGACATGGATGGACATTACACGCAGATGTATTACTGAAGACAAATGCACTATCATAAGCTAACGGTGAACGGGAAAGCCTAAAAACTGCTCTGACAAACTAATCCCACGCCTGATGATCTCTCCATAGATGCTTCACCAAGTGCTACTCATCACCTCACCTACAAGATTGGTTTTGCTGTTTGACAATGTCGCACATGGCTAATCATGCGACTTTTCTACAGGGGACGTGTTTAGGAAAGCTCCGTACCGCACACAGAGCTTTTATTCTGTGCGTCAGCCTTTCCAGGCTGCGATTCTAGTTGTTGCCCAGACCGCCTCGGATTCTGGGACTCGGCGGTTTGGAGGAGATCGTGGTACTAGTGAATGTACACATCTGCTTGCCCAGATTCCTGGGAAGTTTCATGAGCTGCTCGCAGCTGTCACACGCAGGAGCGTCCCCCCGTTTCGCGCAGATTTGTTTCGTCCTTCTGCACTCATCACAAGCACGCACGAGGTTCACGGACTTCCGACGCGCCGTTTTCCCCGTACGATCACTAGCAATTGGCTTCTGCCAAGTCTCCCAGCCGTCGAAGGCACTTTCTACCGCTTTTTGAAGTACTCCTCGACGTCCTTGGAGGGACGGGTTCAGTTCAGCCAGCGCCCAGCCAATAGCATTCCAAATCTTCTCATTTTCTTGATTATCCCCTTTGTACTGATCTCTTGGAACCAGGGCCCGGGGATAGATGGAATTGTCGATCTTGAATCCATGAGGTAAACTCTCGATGTCAACTTTCTCGATGTCGTGTCGAATGGTATACTCTGTTACCACTCCATTGTGAGTGTACTTGAATTCAATCCAATAAGCACCATCCACGTCTTGTCGTGCATTTTTAAGCCGGGGTTTCAAGCCTTTCCATGGTAATGCTCTTGGCTCTCTCGCAGGATTTCGGGAGGAGATACCTGGGACTATGGGTATAGGGTCGTCGTTTACGGAGTCTGATGAATCCGACGGCGATCCATTTTCTCTTTCTCCTGCTTCGACATCAGAGATGGTATCTAGGCTGCTTATATAGTTGCTGTCATGACTTTCGTCATCCGCTGATTCAGCGTCCGAGTCGACACCAGAAGGCAGTATTGCAAGAGCGATTTCTTCCATATGACGTGCAACATGGAGTGAGAACACATCACGGTCCCTTGAAGTGAATGCAACACATAAGGGGCATGTCACTTCTGAGACTCGAGCGTCCATGCCGTGCTTGTCTTGTAGATGATTCATCAGCCCCTCGCCGTTCTCCCAAACGACACCTGTTCCGTGGCATTCGGGGAAGAAACAAGCGTATGCGAGTATATCATCAAACACATGCTTCCTGAAACGACATGATTAGCTTCAATGTGATTGAACTGGTATCATAAAGGCCAACTTACTTCCACGCTTTCGTTCGTTGAAACCGCACCTGCTTCTCGCAGATCTCGCATGTGAAAGATTCGCCAGACCGCGCTTGAGCAGGCAACGGTGGCACACGCTTGTGGCTTGCCTCAGCCCTGCTTGAAATCATCGAGGGTTCGTAGACAGGCTCTGCTTTTACTCCCGCAATTGTTTGTGCTGGTACCGATGTACCCAGACCAGAGTCGTGGAAGATGGTTCCCGCTTTTCCGAAAGTGGACTCTTGAAGCTCCTGCTTCATTGCTTCCCGTTGCAGACGAAGTATGTGATTGTATCGATCCCAGTTCAGCCTCCCAAGTTGGGCCACCATTTCTGGTGGAGCGAAAGGGAACTTTTCTGCAACGCTGCTAGCGTAGGCCTGTTCCGGTAGGGTTTCTCCAATGTCTTGGATGGTACGAGGCTTCTCTTCGTCGAAGATTTCTTCAGCCGGTGATTCCAGGCTGGGTGCCAACATGACCAGTGTTTCAATCTTTGTACGGAGGGTCTGACACATTGTCTCGGCGTCTTGCTCGGGCTGATAAGCGTAATCATATTGTCGACCAATCATGTCCGTGACCTGCTCCAGAACAGTCGCAAAATCAGTAGATTGTAAAATCTCTTTTCGTTGACGCTCACTGATGACAAGGTGCATCAAAGCTGAACCGTGTTAGTGTCAAGGCAATACAGTGGTATGAGTGAAGTTCACTCACAAGTGCTCACAAATCGAGAGATGGATACGAGAACGGCCAGGCAAGTGTTGCGCAACTGGGGGGAGCCTTGGAGCGCATCGTCGAGCTCGCCTCGCGGCAGTCCAAGGTCGGTACCCCAGAATAACAAAGTTGCACAGGTAGACTCTAGAGAAATGTAATGCCTAGCGTCACTATGTTGGCTCCTAAACTCCTTCATGATGAGTCCCAGCGTCTCTGTGAGAGATCTGAATAGTGACCCAAGAATTCCTAGCTCCTGGAGTTCGACATGTTGCACAGTGTGCAGGGCGAGCGGTTGTGAATCCTCGTCCTCCTCTTTCTTCAATGAAGAGTGAGCTGATCTAGCTTTGCTGCTCCCAGGCGTTCCCTTCACTTCTTCGAATTGGACTTGAGAGTCGATATGAGGCGTGGGCTTCTGGTCCGAGATCTGATGTACGAATGACCCGATGTCATCCACGAACAGGGGATAAAGCAAATCGACGATCTTTTCCGCGTTCGCCAACCTTAAGGCACTCTCGAATGGGATCCAAACGCCTTTGAATTGTGTTGGCCCGATTTTAACCACGGCTCTAATCTTCTCACTCTTCAGCAAAGCCCCCTTGCGGCCTGCTGTCATGTCAGTCAAAGTGAGCAGCTTGGTGCCGTTGATCATTTGATTGTCGTCGCGACGAGATACGCAGACACCTCTGACCTCGACTTCGTAACAGTGGCAGCCTTCATCTTTCCAAAAGGATGTAGTAACTCCAGGCGAAGCCCCCGGAGGAGCGATTTTGCCTGCGCGACCGAAAGGGACCGGTGGGTGATTCTTTGAATCAGAATCGGAGAAGGCAAGGGCGCCGGAAGACCTTGCCAGTGATGGTGTTGTAGACGAAGTTGTTGGCTCACTCGCTGGAGACGACGAGGTGTCTTGCGTGCGTTCCATTTCAGCCTGCCGGGGCTCCCTCACCAAGCCGCCTTCTTCGGCAGCCGATGCATTACGACGGTTCTTTGGTGGAAGCATGCGCGCCGACTAACAGCGGGCACGGTCAGTAGATGCTCAAAGGCGGGAAGACAATGGATTAGGACATGCGCACCAGCTGAGAGAGATCATGTTGCTTTTGCCAGGATGCCGACACGGCTGGGCAGCCACACGTGAACGGGCTGCGCATTGAGGGGTATGCGCCTATCGCATTGGGGGCCAAACTGCGCCTCGCTCAATCAACCTTGGAGGAGTGCGCATCCCGAGACTCATCAACTCCCATATCTTTTGAGAGTTGTCTTTCACACCATGTCCGGCATCGAAATCGCAGGTCTAGTTTTCGGTGTTGTGCCCATTGTTGTCGAGATTCTGAAGTCATACGGCACGGCCAAGCGCACATTGGCGACCTTCTCACGACACGCGGAAGTTGCATACGACATCCAGCTGAGATTCGAAGTAGCAGCAGCGAACTTTAGCAACGAATGCCGCCATCTGCTGCAGGCTGCCATCGCCCATCCGAGCGATGTCTCCGAGATGATGGAGGATCCGACCCATAGGAGCTGGCAGGAACAAAGAAAGGAGATCGAACAGCGGCTGCGAGATTTGATGCAGCACGATTACGAGCTATGCGAGAGCATCGCGACGCGACAACGCGATATCCTCCGTGAGACACGGAACAGCCTGTCCAAGCTCGAGAATAGCCTGGGTAACGCAAAACAGTCCCAACACGAGTTCGCACGGAAGCTTTGGAACGCGTTCAATACAGCTCGCAAGGAGAACGAGTACCTCCGACAGCTCGATGCGTTGGACAGATGGAACAAGTCGCTGGGCAAGTTGTGTAAGCAGAGGCGCAAAATGCAGAAGCGTCGCAATCTTTCTTCGGCTTGCATCATCCGCAAAGCCGTGCCAAGGAGCTACCAGCAGATCCGCGTCGCCTCACAACAGTTAGGAGAGTCTATTCACGACTCGTGGTCTTGCACAAACACCTCTCACAGTGGACACCAGGCGAAGTTATCGCTCGACGCCAAAAGCGAGTACGATAACGTGCAACTCGACGTTGTCATCGCTTGCCAGCCAAAGCCGAATACGGCATTCCAAAAGTATGTCAGAGCGGATATTCTTCGCGGCCCGAAAGGAAGTAGAAGCGCTGTTGACTAACGACGATGTGTAGTCCATCTAGCAACGTCCCAATATGGCTGCAAATTCGGTCCATTACATCCCTCGCGATGTGTACGGCTCCAACATTACCTCCACCCGCATTAGCGAACGCGTTTTGTTATGGGATCAACGACGCGTCGGAAGTTACGACCCCAACGCCGCCCATCAAAGCCAAGTCGAAGAAAAGAGTCCGAATCAATGATCCCAAAGACGACATTAAATGTGTTCGAACACCACCAACAAGCCGCACGTTAGCAACGCAAGCACAATCTTTTGTCATGCTAGATCTAAAGACAACAAAAAGCGTATGCTGTCATGTAACGAGAGTGCGGTCATCTACATCGGCATGTCAAG